TTTTTGCCGTGCGGGGATACATGCACTTGTGAAAGGACGGACAAAAACTGGATAAAAAAAAAAAAAAAACTAAACGGAGACTACATTGAGAAATACCGATGTGAAGTTTAGAATGTGGGCTACATTTAAGAGTAAATTGTATCTGTTTTCTTCGCTTACTGAATACAGTCAAAAGTTACTAGGCATTACTATTTGACAGTCCCTCGTTTACACATCACCACTTGTCAGTTAATCAAACGATCCATACATTCTCTAGTCCGTCCGCCCATTCACCTGTTTGTCTGTTTGTCTATCTGTCTGCCTGTCTATCTGTCTGCCTGCCTGCCTGTCTGTCTGAATTGGGTCATGATCATCATCATCATCATCATTATCATTATCACAACCATCACAAATATCATCACAATTAATGTCACTACTATTACTATACTCACCGAATTAATCATGCCCTGCCTTTCCTGACATTACTGATCCCCTTTATGTACACCTGTTTGACCACCGGCACTGTCTAAAATCCTGTTTAACCCTCAGACTGAGCAGTGCGAATGTATCGGAGTGCTCCGCGGCCATACCGACTACGTCAACTGTATCCTCATAGAAGACTGCTACGTTCTGACTGGGAGTGCCGACAAGACGCTCAGGAAATGGGACGTGGGCACTTGCGAGTGTCTGCTCATCTTTACTGGACACTCCAGCGTCATCTACAGGTGAGTCTGTGGTAGAATTGTGTCTTGTTGTTGTTCTTTACTGGACACTCCAGCGTCATCTACAGGTGAGTCTGCTGGTGGAGCTTGTGTCTTGTTGTTTTCATTTACTGGACACTCCAGCGTCATCAACAGGTGAGTCTGCTGGTAGAGCTTGTGTCTTGTTGTTGTTTTCATTTACTGGACACTCCAACGTCATCTACAGGTGAGTCTGCTAGTAGAGCTTGTGTCTTGTTGTTGTTTTCATTTACTGGACAGTTCAGTGTCATCTACAGGTGAGTCTGCTGGTAGAGCTTGTGTCTTGTTGTTGTTTTCATTTACTGGACAGTTCAGTGTCATCTACAGGTGAGTCTGCTGGTAGAGCTTGTGTCTTGTTGTTGTTTTCATTTACTGGACAGTTCAGTGTCATCTACAGGTGAGTCTGCTGGTAGAGCTTGTGTCTTGTTGTTGTTTTCATTTACTGGACAGTTCAGTGTCATCTACAGGTGAGTCTGCTGGTAGAGCTTGTCTGCTGGTAGAGCTTGTGTCTTGTTGTTGTTTTCATTTACTGGACAGTTCAGTGTCATCAACAGGTGAGTGCCTTAGTCGTCTCATCATCCTATTGTAAACTTCTTGGACTTTTTTCAGGCTGTATTACATTTGTCGTTCATTTTGCTAACTCTTGGCACTTTGTATCCACAGAATGATCTGTACCGGCGATTTCATATTCACCAGCTCCTACGACAGAACTGCTCGCGCCTGGGACTTCGACACGGGCGAGTGTGTTCGGGTCTTCAGGGGACACAAGCGAGGCGTGTTCCCACTGATCTTCATACCCGCAGAGGAGGAGGAGGAGTTTGACATCGATACAGACGTTTGCAAGGACATCTTGATCACAGGGTCAGCAGATACCACAGCCAGAACCTGGAGTTTTGAAACTGGACAGGTCATCAAGGTCATGAAAGGGCACACCGGTGCGGTCACCTGCATGTCCGTAGACCAGACCGGAAGTGTCCTTTTCACCGGAAGTACGGACCACACAATAAGGAGTTGGAATATCAACAAGGGGACACAACTGAAAGTGTTTGAAGGTCATCAAGGGTCAGTCATCTGCATGACGGTGAGTGAGTTTTTTTATCTTTGTTGTAGGCTTTGTGTTAGTTCTGCTTGTTCGTCAACTTAAAAAGTAATTAGAAGACTGAGCTAGACTTTTCAGGACATTTGTGTCTTTGCACTTTGGTTTGTCAGTCTTCTTCTCTTTCTTTTTTTTCTTTTGCCAATATCTGCTTATGCCGCTAGACGTCGCAGCTCGTCAGACGATCGGCAGTCGCGTGCTCGATCGCTAGATATGCCGTGATGTTATGCAGTCTCAAGGTGTCAGTGACTCCTTCAATCCATCTTTTCCTCAGTCTTCTTCTGCCTCTTGGTATTTTGATTTTCAGGTTGTACGCCCATGCTGCTGGCCTCGTTGGTTTCATTCTCCATAGATGGCCAAACCATTTCTTTCTATCCCCCCCCCCCCGCCCCAATAAATTTGTCGATGGGTGTTGTTCCAACAGTTCTTGTGATCACGACGTTTCTCACTCGATCTCTTCTGGTTTTTTTTACAGCCATTCCCAAACATCTAATCTCACAGGTGGTTTGTTTTCTCTCTTGTTCTTTTGCCAATGTCCAAGTCTGACACTGGTAACATAAAGTCGGTATAAATGTTGCATTTATAATTTGTCTTTTTGTCTATATAAGGATAGCATGGTTTTTAAAATTGGAGTAAGCTGGTACGTGACATTGTTAGCTTGTTGGATTCTCGTTTCTACCTCTGTCTATGTTACAATTGTATGTTAAGATACTTCCCTAGTGTCCAAATTCTTGCTCTTGTTTTAGACTTCGATCTTTATGTTGATGGTCGTTGCTCTCTGCTTATTCTCATGACTTCTGTTTTTTCAATACTGATCTTCATGTGATGTTTAAGGCAACTGTCGTGTAGTTGCTTTATATGGTCCTGCAGCTATTTACTTTCAGCGTGGAATATGCACTGATTGTCGGCAAAGAGCAGCTCATTGAAGTCTGGATGTTTATCGACATCTGCCGGTGTTATGTGGTATGTCAATGAAGATATTAAATCCCTGCTTCAGTTCCATTAGGCAGGATCTGACATAATGTCCACATCCCTAGTGATGTTTTAAACATATAATGTAATTCAGGCATCTCTCACCCACATAGAACTATGAGTCATCCTGTGGCTCACTCGTTCCCTCAATCACCAACCAAGAGTCATTCTGTGATTCAGTTATCCCTTAGTCCACATCGACTGTTAGTCATCCTGTGATTCAGTTATCCCTTAGTCTACACCGACTGTTAGTCATCCGGTGATTAACTTATCCCTTAGTCCACACCGACTGTTAGTCATCCGGTGATTCACTTATCCCTTAGTCCACACCGACTGTCAGTCATCCTGTGAAGATTTACTTATCCCTCACTCAACCACCAACTGTAAGTCATCATGTAAGTCATCCTTTACTCCACAACGACTGTTAGTCATCCTGTGATTCAGTTATCCCTTACTCAACCACCGACTGTAAGTCATTATGTAACTAAGTTATTCCTAACTCCACACCGACTGTTAGTCATCATGTAATTCAGTTATCCCTTACTCAACAACCGACTGTTAGTCATCCTGTGAGTCACTTATCCCTAACTCAACCGACCACTGCTAGTCACCATGTAATTCAGCTATCCCTTACTCCACACCAACTGTTGGTCATCCCGTGTTTCACTTATCCCCCACTCCAAACGACTGTTAGTCATCCTTTGATTCAGTTATCCCTTACTCTACACCGACTGTAAGTCATCCTGTGACTCAGTTATCTCTCACTCACCAATAACTGAGAGTAATCCTGTGACTCAGTTATCCGTCACTCACCAACAATTGAGAGTAATCCTGTGACTCAGTTATCTCTCACTCACCAACAACTGAGAGTGATCCTATGACTCATTTATCTCTCACTCACCAACAATCGATAGTGATCCCGTGACAGTTATCTCTCACTCACCAACAACTGAGAGTGATCCTGTGACAGTTATCTCTCACTCACCAACAACCGAGAGTGATCATGTGACAGTTATCTCTCACTCACCAACAAATGAGAGTGATCCTGTGACAGTTATCTCTCACTCACCAACAACTAAGAGTGATCCTGTGACAGTTATCTCCCACTCACCAATAATTGAGAGTGATCCTGTGACAGTTATCTCTCACTCACCAACAACTGAGAGCGATCCTGTGACAGTTATCTCTCACTCACCAACAACTGAGAGTAATCCTGTGACTCATTTATCTCTTACTCACCAACAACTGAGAGTGATCCTGTGACTAATTTATCTCTCACTCACCAACAACTGAGAGTACTTCAGTAACTCAGTTATCTCTCCCCCAGGAACAAGCTAGGACCCGACGTAGCTGTTAGAGTGCCCTAATTATAACGTCTTACTAGGTTGACCTCATCCTCTCCGGTGCGCCTGTTTGGATGAGTGTCCTGTGACACTTTGTGATACCCAAATTATTAGATTTTCATACAGACAGCCATAGGGTGTAAACAAAAGAGCCAATCACCGACTGCGATATATATATATTTATTGTTGTTGTTGTTGTTCGTCCACCACAAGTGATGATTGATATATATTTACATATATACACACATACACACACACACATACACACACTGTTCTAATGTAGAAATATGCTGGGGGATAAGCCTCTAGGCGTGCCAGTTCTGATGGCCAGCTGATGCGGCCCGTGTAACCTCAGCAACAGGCGTTACCTCACATTACCTCACATTACCTCACATTACCTCACATTTCTTGCTTGAACATCAGTGGAAGAGTACTAGACAACAACTTGGCTGACCTAAAATCCTGAGTAAATGTCTTCGACTTCTTATCTCTAGCCATTGTTCTGGGTTTCGCCTTTCAGATATCATATTTTTGCTCCTGACTCGAACAGACTCTGCACAAAAACACTGTGAGGACAAGTAGTGATCGACCTATGTAGTGCATCGAAAGCCATGTCTTATCAGATAATCACAATGAACTGAGATCCTGATGGAGACGTTAGAGCCTCTGGGCGTTGAAAAAAAAAAAAACGAATACAACAACAAAAATGCAAAAACAAATACTACCCAGTAGGTATATTTGTGATGACAAACGTCACAAAACACAAAACAGTAAACAGCAGACGAGTTTCTGCTCTACACAGACATTGAGATCATCAAAGATGTTGCGGAGTTTGTGCAGTATACCAAATGTCTCTCTTTGGTGTTTCAGATCGTCAATAAAATCATCTACTCTGGCAGTTCTGACCACACGGGTCGGGCCTGGGTGGCGGAGTTTGGCGACTGTACCCGAGTCTATAAGGGACACAAGCACACAGTTAGTGTCATCAAGATCTACAACGGAATGGGTAAGTTCTCTCTCAGCAATATTGCAGTACGTCATGTTTATTTCTCTCTCAACAATATTATAGTATTTCATGTTTATTTCTCTCTCAACAATATCATAGTATTTTATGATTATTTCTCTCTCAGCAATATCATAAAATTTCATAATTATTTCTGTCCCAACAATATTATAGAATTTCATATTCTAAGTGAAAAACAAGAGCATAATTCAGCAATGGGTTGTACGCAGTCTGTAGGCCCGATGATCGCTTCTCGGCCTTTTGGCTAAGATCAAACTGTAGCTTTGCTGCACTGGTCTGGCCAAAAGAGCTCCGGAGCGGTCATAACCAAGTCACGGGAGAAACCCAATCGGCAATGCCATCTTAAAAAATCTGCCGGGCGGTTTCCCCGTTCAGTCTGGATTACCGATGTAATATCCTTCGGGTGATCGGGCGACCAGGCTGGGCATTTGGGAGACCGACCCGGACAAAAAAAAGTCTGTAGGCCCGATGATCTTGGGCTATCAAATTAGACGCCCGGCTCTCTAGCGTAGTTGGCTAAACCGGATTGCGCGGTGACCAGGTGACGAACTCCTTGTGGTCTGGGTTCACTCCCGGGGGTGGGCAGAAAAGCCACATTTTCTCCAAGATTTACGGTATTTACAATGGAATCAAGGCCGAAAGGTTGCGATATCCATAATGCCGAGCCTAAGGGTTAACAACTCATGGCTTCTGGATACTACAACAAACAAACATCAAATTAGACTATCAAAACTATCTAAAACAATAGGTAGAAGGGCATGTTATGGGAAGTAAAGGCAGCCACGCCAACCTACGAGTGCCGATTACTCTATACAATCTGGAGCTAGCAATATATACCTAGAAGTCTGGAAGCCGGAAACAGATAGCTGGAGATGGGACACGAAAAGCAAGGGGAAAACAAGACAGACAGACAGACAGACAGACAGACAGACAGACAGACAAATTTTACATTACCTTTACTAGATGGCTCAACAAAACAAGACTCTTTAGGTGACCATTGCGGCAGCTGAAACAGAATATCTACACAGACACATACATGACCACATATCTTTACAGTCACATACATGACCACATATTTAAATAGGCACACACATGACCACATATCTCTACAGTTACATACATCACATATCTACGCATTCATGACCACACATTTACACAGACACATACATGGCCACATATCATTACAGTCACATACATGACCACATATCTTTACAGCCACATACATGATCACATATATTTACAGACACATACATAACCACATATCTTTACAGTCACATTTAAGACCACATATTTACACAGACACATACATGACCAAATATTTACACAGACACATACGTGACCACATATTTACACAGACACATACATGACCGCATATTTACACAAAACTATATATGACCACATATTTACACAAACACATACATGACCACATATCTTTACAGTCACATATATGACTACATATCTTTGCAGTCACATTCATAACCACATATCTTTACAGTCACATAATGACCACATATTTTTACAGTCACATACATGACCACACATGTACACATTCATGACCTGACATCTACACATTCATGACCACATATCTAACATAGATGACCACATATTTACACAGACATATACATGACCACATATCCTTACAGACACATATATGACCACATATCTTTACAGTCACATACACCACCACATATTTACACATACATGACCACATATCTTTACAGACACATAATGACCACATATCTTTACAGTCACATACATGGCCATACATTTACACATTCATGACCACACATCTACACATTCATGACCACGCATTTAACATAGAGACCACATATTTACATAGACACATAATGACCACATATCTTTACAAACACATACATGACCACATATCTTTACAGCCACATACATCACCACATATTTACACAGACATATACACGACCACACATCTTTACAGCCACATACATGACCATACATTTTCACAGACCCATACATGACCACATATCTTTACAGTTACATAGATGACCACATATTTACACAGACACATACATGACCATATATTTTTACAGTCACATACATGACCACATATTTACACAGACACATACATGACCACATATTTACACAGAAACATATATGACCACATATTTACACGAACACTTACATGACCACATATTTACACAGAAACATATATGACCACATATTTACACGAACACATACATGACCACATATTTACACAGAAACATATATGACCACATATTTACACGAACACATACATGACCACATATCTTTACAGTCACATACATGACCACATATTTTTACAGTCACATACATGACCACACATCTACACATTCATGACCACACATCTAACATAGATGACCACATATTAACATAGACACATAATGACCACACATTTACACAGACACTTACATGACGACATATCTTTACAGACACATACATTACCACATATCTTTACAGCCACATACACCACCACATATTTACACATACATATACACGATCACATATCTTTACAGCCACATACATGACCACACATTTTCACAGACACATACATGATCACATATCTTTACAGTCACATACATGACCACACATTTACACAGGCACATACATGACCACATATCTTTACATTCACATAGATGACCACATATTTACACAGGCACATACATGACCACATATCTTTACAGTCACATAGATGACCACTTTTACCGGTTTTAAATAACCACGCTAGACAGCGGCGCCGTTTTACGGAACAGAGGCACCACATTTTTTGCTTCTGCCGACGGTGGCCGATGCCATTTTTGCTCCATTTGTAGACTGGATATAGTTTCGTCGCCCCAGCTTCTGAGTTGAATGCATGGCGTGACCCCTGTGAGCTGCGGATTGCATTTGGAAATGTGTTTTTTTTTTTTTTCGACTGTGACCAACGTGGTGGTGTGAATTGTAGATTCAGAAAATGGCGCAATGCCTGTCGTTCAATGCTTGCGGGACCCGTATTAAAATTGATCACGCGGACAACTGCTGATCTGTTGACGACAAGTTCTGCTATCATCAATGATGAACTGCATTTCTAATGTTGGACTGTTTGTGTTAGCACTTCGGATGGCTACCATATGCTTTAATGCGAGTGTATGCTAGATATGCTGAGACAGCAGTCTGTCAATCTTTCCACAAGGGACTGTGATAAACATTCTGAGTGTTTTTCGCTGGCACAGGAGCGGAGCAAAGATGGGGCAACCCGTTTGCTATGAAGCTGAAACTAAGACTACCAGACCAGACCAGTCTTTACAGTCACATAGATGACCACATATTTACACAGGCACATACATGACCACATATCTTTACAGTCACATAGAGGACCACATATTTACACAGGCACATACATGACCACATATCTTTACAGTGACATAGATGACCACATATTTACACAGGCACATACATAACCACATATCTTTACAGTCGCATACATGACCACATATTTACACAGACACATACATGACCACATATCTTTACACTCACATACATGAGCATATTTCCAGTGTGCTCATTACGCTCGTGTACACACAACAACAACAATGTCCAGATTTCATGTTTCTGACTGCCAAAACATCACACAGTGTACACAGCTTGTGGAGATGCCAAAGTGCATATGTTCGACGTAAAGACAGGCTCACTCGTGAGAACAATGGTGGGACATACCAGCACCGTCACCGCTGTCCAGGTTCACACTTTGTTCACATCATTTGTTCCACTTTCCCGCCCTCCTATTGGTAGACGTGTTTTCTAGTTTTCCACATTTCCCTGCTTAACCCAGCTCACAGTTAACTCTTTCCCGAGCCCTTTGCTTTCCAAATATCGCTTCCTAGTGGTTTGCTAAAAACAGCAGAACTTTGCTAATATGCCAGGACAAGCTTAGTACATTCATAATTGCCTTTTCTTAGTACTAACCATGCACTTGAAAAGAAAAATAACATTTATCATTTTCTGTGTGTAGCTTGTTTTGCCTTTTCTCCACAGGCTAGTTAACCGCATGTTTTAATTACCAGAAAAGTTCTAAACGTACCATGCGCCACTTAGAACAGCTCAAATATCGCCCTAGATTTGACCACACTCAACTTGAGGTCGACCTGATAGTGCCCAAGATTTTACAAGGCCACTTAGAACAGCTCAAATATCGCCCTAGATTTGACCACACTCAACTTGGGGTCGACCTGATAGTGCCTAAGAATTTATTATGGCCACTTAGAACAGCTCAAATATCGCCCTAGATTTGACCACACTCAACTTGGGGTCGACCTGATAGTGCCCAAAAATTTACAATGGCCACTTAGAACAGCTCAAATATCGCCCCAGATTTGACCATACTCAACTTGGGGTCGACCTGATAGTGCCCAAGAATTTACAATGGCCACTTAGGACAGCTCAAATATCGCCCCAGATTTGACCAAACTCAAACCGTAACTGGGGTCAACCTGTAACTTATCTGTATCCTAGAACTCTCGCCACACCCATAACTTATCTGTATCCTAAAACTCTCGCCACACCCATAACTTATCTGTATCCTAGAACTCTCGCCACACCCATAACTTATCTGTATCCTAGAACTCTCGCTACACCCATAACTTATCTGTATCCTAGAACTCTCGCCACACCCATAACTTATCTGTATCCTAGAACTCTAACTTATCTGCCTACACCCCCATAACTTATCTGTATCCTAGAACTCTCGCCACACCCATAACTTATCTGTATCCTAGAACTCTCGCACACCCATAACTTATCTGTATCCTAGAACTCTCGCTACACCCATAACTTATCTGTATCCTAGCACTCTCGCCACACCCGTAAATTATCTGTATTCTAGCACTCACGCTACACCAATAACTTATCTATAACCTAGCTCTCTAGCTACACCCATAACCTATCTGTATCCTAGCTCTCTCGGCACACCCATAACTTATCTGTATCCTAGAACTCTCGCTACACCCATAACTTATCTGTATCCTAGAACTCTCGGCACTAACTTATCTGTATCCTAGAACTCTCGCCAACCCCATAACATATCTATATCATAGAATTCTCAGAACACCCATAACTTATCTGTATCCTAGAACTCTCGGCACACCCATAACTTATCTGTATCCTAGCTCTCTCGCCACACCCATAACTTATCTGTATCCTAGAACTCTCGCCACACCCATAACTTATCTGTATCCTAGAACTCTCGCCACACCCATAACTTATCTGTATCCTAGAACTCTCGCCACACCCATAACTTATCTGTATCCTAGAACTCTCGCCACACCCATAACTTATCTGTATCCTAGAACTCTCGCCACACCCATAACTTATCTGTATCCTAGAACTCTCGCCACACCCATAACTTATCTGTATCCTAGAACTCTCGCACACCCATAACTTATCTGTATCCTAGAAGCTGAGTAAGCACATTTATCCATCGTGTGTGGCTTAGCGCTAAACACTGCTGTGTACACAAATAAGCGCCTTTGCGTACACACTTATGCTGATGTGTAGTTTAGACCACTGCTGTGTAGCACTATCTGCTGTGTAGCCTTCAACTGCTGTGTACTATAACAGTGCTGTGAAACACTATAACACAGCTGTGAAAGGACTATAACACTGATGTGTAGCACTAAAGCGGCCTGTTTACACTATAACACTACATTTAGCACCATCGTGTGTGGCTAGCACTATAACACTGCTGTGTAGCACTATAACACTGCTGTGAAACACTATAACACTGCTGTCAAACACTATAACACTGCTGTGAAACACTATAACACCGCTGTGTAGCACTATAACACCGCTGTGAAACACTATAACACTGCTGTGTAGCACTATAACACTGCTGTGAAACACTATAACACTGCTGTGTAGCACTATAACACTGCTGTGTAGCACTATAACAGTGCTGTGTAGCACTATAACACTGCTGTGTAGCACTATAACAGTGTTGTGTAGCACTATAACAGTGCTGTGTAGCACTATACACTCAGAGCCTGATTAAGACCCTCTGATGCCCTCTTTTACCAGATTTTTGCGATATACTGTTACGTGGAATAAATAAACAGGTGTAGATGTTTCCTGCAAGACCTTTTCATGAACCGGTTGTTAGTTACCTGACTTTCGTTTAACTCAGTGGCCACAGATCGTTGATCTTGCAATACTACACAGATTGTGCGTGATCGATATTGGTCAGCATAGTTGTTAACGTCAAAGAAATGGTAAAGTAAAAAAGGGGCCCAAAAAAAAAGGGGGGGGGGGGAGGCACATATCACTTTTGGGGGTGGTGAAAAAGTTGTGCCCTTTTGTTTGAAGCAGTGGAGGCAAGTAGGCACCTCTACAATGGCAGACATTGCGCCCTTCTCTACAGACCCAGTCCTGAAAGTGGGGGGGGGGGGGGGGGGGTGGGGGGGGGGGGGGGGGGCACTGCTATAATTCCTTATTCCTCTTCTTGTTTTGCAAATGTGCGACCAGGAATTGATCCCACAAGTTGGCCGGATCATGGTCTGATAGCAATCAATGAGTTCCACGTCTCCAGTCATTGCTATTATGGGCCTCATCATGTGGCCTCTTTCATTGGTTTTCTAAATAAATAAAGATCTTAATGCATTTCTTCATGTCGCTGTTTTGGACCGGTCATAGACAATCCTGTGACATCTTGTGAGATCAACGAGTCTTGTAGTATTCCTGATATAATTGTTAATTAGGCCTACATTTCTGTGAGGTCAGTGTACACAGGTTCTGGTGACGGAACCATCCGGAGATTCGAGGCCAGGACTGGAGCTCTCGTGAGCTCTTACATCGGACAATCATGTCTGATCACAGGCATTCAGGTAAACAACACCTACATCAGCTCACGCGGTGGAGACCAACTATCATCCACTGCCTTTGCATGTTTCACTTGTTTATAACTGAATGTCTGCTTTGAGTGATCGTCAATACTAATGTTTAATAAGTGTCTAAAGGAATATCGTTTTGATGAATTCTATGCAATTTTTGTAAATGTAAGTATTAAACATATTCCTTGTACAAGAAAACATAAAAACAGTTACCGCTCTTGTGACGAGACTCGAATTAATATCCATACTGGCGGGGCAACGTGCTAACCACTACACCTCATGTTTACATGAGCTTGCCTCAAAATATTCAAATTTCTCTGAAGTAAACTTTTCTAACAGTCCTAAAGAAAGAGAATATGCGATTCCGAGCTGAAAGGCTATAGAAAGATTCTCAGAATATCTTGGACGAAACACAGGACACATACTGACATCTTAAAAGATCTGAACATCAAGGAAGATTGCCCAATAAACAGCATCCTGTCTCGGAGGCTAAAATACTTTGGTCATATCAAGCACTATGACGGATTGAAAAAATTATGGCAGAAGGCATGGTACCAGGAAGAAGGGGCAGGGGCCGACCAACACGAAGAGGGGATATAAGTGACTCCTTGAGTATGAAAGTATATGAGGCGGTAGAACTGGCGAGAGACCCAGTTTCTTTCGGGCAGACCGTGAGGAGAGCGACGTTCTGCAAAGTAACTGCTACATGATGACGATAAAAGTATTTTAGCATTTGTCAAAGAAACTGCTACTTTTAAATTTAGCCTTTAAAAAAAAAAAAACAGCTGGACCAGTCGAGAAAAACAATTCTAGAGCAGGAAAACAGGTTGCATTCAACAGACACTGTTTAGTTGTCAGTCGTCATGGTGCTAGCATGTTTAATGTCTAAACTCGGAATTGTGTTGCCAATGTTGACACGGACCTGAGAGCCCTATCGAGCAGTTGACATTGTTTCTTGTCCTGTTACATTCACACAATGTGCAGCCCCTGAATAGTTTCACGGGCGTCCAGTCGATATGAAAAATGCCAGAAAGTATCAAGTCACAACTATGGAAGGGGCTTGCAAATGGAATTTTGCTTGATTTAGATTCTGGTATATGTTACTAGCGATATAAAGACATGTATTAACTATCCCCTCCCCCACTTATCCTGAATGCCCACATAGAAACTCAAAATACCTCCTACAAATCAGAAACATTACAGGGGCCATTCATCCCTTAGAACTGCAGACAACCACTAATCTACTGTTGGAACAAAATATCTAAACTGATATAGATGTTCACTGATGCCGCAGCAAATGAAGCTGTGAGGAGTAGAGAAGGGAGAATCCGTGCTGAAAACGGTGGTGCGCGAGAGTACAGTCTTACTACAGGAAAAAAACAAATTCCTACAGTTATAAAACGGAATCAGTGACGCTGGACAAAGAAGTGTCTGCATGAATACAGTTCTGAGATAGAAATATTTACACTGACAGGCGTCCGCTCAGTGTTGCCAGTAATACAGTTCTGAGCCAGAAATAGTTACACTGACAGGAGTCCACTCAGTGTTGCCTGCAATACAGTTCTGAGCCAGAAATAGCTACACTGACAGGAGTTCGCTCAATGTTGCCAGCAATACAAACTGACAAGCAGCTAGTCCCACAAGCTTAGATCTTTGCACAGCCAAAGGCAGGTCAGCTACCCAGCAGACCGTGGAACAATGGATCGCAGTCCACTGCACCATCAACGGTTGAGACAGTTCCTGTCCCATTACGGGACGCAATTTTTGATTTTTTTTCAAAACCCCACTCCGGCTTTAGTCGGTGGCCCTAAATAACCTAACGACTGAATGGGGTTTTGGGGACTTGTGGCCGAGTGATCCCCATCCAATGGTGGCACTTTGTGTCCCCTGGTGTTGGTTGCTCGTTGTACGGTCCTGATAGGATTGAAAGGCACACGATTGAGGGAAATAAAAGTGCAGACTATAAAGCAAACATTGTGAGCAATACAAAACAGTCAGATAAAGGATGTACTTACGAGGAAAATGAAACCTAAAATGGAAGAAACAACCAGAACCCGTTCAGAAGACAACTCCAAAGAATAAACAAACTGCTCCCTCGAAAGCAACAAATTGTTTCCATAATGGGAACTGGGCGCAACAGATTCAGCGGCCATTTGTACAAAAGTTTTTAGATTTGGAAAACTGAACTTACGTCATGCGGACAGGCGCCTCATAAGATACTAAAAACATGCTGTAGTGCTCAATGCACAACTGGCTGTTGGTCTCAACGCAGTAATTCCCTCAACAACGCTCTGTCGTTATTCAGTGGTGACACATTAGAATCCCGGTGGGCTACTGGGATCTTAGTGTCCATGTTGTCTGATATATCTTCTGATGTTTGCTGTTGTCAGGCATTATTAGGAGATCCAGTAGAGGTCTATGGATGAAGCTGTACGTGCGTATTTTCTGAAGAGTTAACACAACTGGTAAAAGACTCATTGATGGACAGGGTCAAGGAGAGGACCGCCAGACCCATGTCTGTATCATGTGATGGTTGCAGTCTGGAGCCAATGGTGCCTGCCAGACACATCTGGGTACTTCACAAATAAAGCAGGACACACAGGTTGCAGGGAAGACATCAGGTGGTATCTATACATTAGAAAACCAGTTTTTAAAAAACGTGGAAGCAGAAACTACATAAATGCAATGTTCAGCACAGTCAGCTTTCTATGCTTGGGCTATACAGCTTGCTTTCAATTAAACAATGGTGATTTTAATTCATTGGTGCAAGAATGGTACCGTGCAAGAGACTGAAGTTTGACCGAATAATATTCCTAAAGGACATCAGTGGAACCAGAGTAGCCAGACTCCATGTGGACTGCAAACTCTGTTCATAATTCTGGTTTCCTAGGATACGATTTCTAAGGTTGAACAAGATATTAAATGTCTGTGTTAAGCTCCAACTAAAGATCATATTTTAGTTGTCATAGCCGGCCATTACATTGTCAAAACAAACTGTTCAGCAAATGAACACACGGTTCAAACATGACATCTCTGTTGTTCTGTGTAATGGCTCTTCTCCGAATGTCATTTGTATTCCTTCACTGTTTGTTCTGACAGCTAATTCTGTAACTGTAGCAGTCGACGGCTGCACTGTTATCGGGGCAAACTGGACATACGTAAGACTAGAGACAACAATGGCGGAGCTAATTCAACTAGAGCACAAACTATCGATCTTACTGCGGCCCCTGATATATTTCGATTCAATCAATAGTTCTTCGATTGATTGGAGGCAGGATAGCGAAGACATATTTGCAGTTAGGCTCCTCGGCAACCTTACGTGATGTTTCAAACATTGGTCAAATATTTGGTCTGTAGTGCTGACATGGGTCGAATGTGTGGTCTGTAGTGCTGACATGGGTCAAATATGTTGTCTGTAGTGCTGACATGGGTCAAATATGTTGTCTGTAGTGCTTACATGGGTCAAATATTTGGTCTGTAGTGCTTTTATGGGTCAAATATTTGGTCTGTAGTGCTGTCATGGGTCGAATATTTGGTCTGTAGTGCTGTCATTGGTCGAATATTTGGTCTGTAGTGCTGTCATGGTCCAAATATCTGGTCTGTAGTGCTGACAGGGGGGTTGGTTGTTAGGAAAGCGGTAAGTCAAATAGAGAACCAAGTCAATATTATGAAACTGTGGAGACCATGACAATCTCAGATTAAAGACACGTATCAGAGATGAAAAACAGGATGGGGACGGGCACCATCACTATGTCAGAAGATGAACAGTCATACGTAGTGACCGACTAACCGATCAGTTTCTTCTCCTCGGGCTACTACTAGCTGAACGTTTACAACCCTGAGATAAGAAACGCTTAGAATTGATGACAAACCAACAGATCAGATCTCCGGAACACGGTTCAAACCCCATACAAATTATAATTAGGGCATCGTAACAGCGACACAAGTGCTAGTCAGTGGTTTGGTGTAGTATGAGACAGAGTTAGCATCAATGGCCAGTGAATTCAGGACACAGAAACACCCATGTAAAGATACAAGTATCTTTGGGTTGTGACAGTTTTCCTTGGATGTTGTTTGTTTGCTGACATACCTCTCTGGTTGTTGTAGTGCTGTGTTGTAGTGGTTGTTGTATTACTACTACTGCTTCTACTACTGTTGCTACTACTGTTGCTGCTGCTACGATTACTACTACTGCTGCTATTAATAATAGTACTGCTGTTGCTATTACTACTACTGCTGCTATTACTTATGCTACTACCATTACTGCTGCTGCTGCTACTACTAATACAAGTACTACTACAGTTATTACTACTGCTGCTGCTACTACTGCTAACATTATTATGACTGATGGAAGCAAGTGTACAGTCAGGAGCAAATGTAGCTGGATGAAAGAGTGATACAGCAAGCAGTTAGGAGCTGATCTGACGGATACACGACGCTCAAATGGAACACACGAAGTATATTTCATAAGTCTGCTACTGATAGCACTGGTATTGGAGCTGCGCTGGCTGTTGAAAATGGGACAAGGAATGTCTGAAATGCTGTGATGTCGGTTCTTGAACCAACTCAACTCAACTTAATACTATTATTATGAATATTATTATTAGTAATAGTGAAATTAGCAATAGTAGTAATTGTAGTATTAACAACAAGTAGCAGTTTGTGTTGGCAGACACCACAAAATCATCAGGTGCGGGCGCACATACCCGCCCCCGCCTCAACAGTTTCTGGAGACGGGGGAGAATCCAGGGACGAAAGTCTTCAGCACGCAATCATAATAATACTCATTTGTATTGCTATTATTTTGCGCTGAATGATAAATAAATATGAAAGTAAATTTAAAATAATAAGAAATGCATAAACAAATTAAAAAAAAAACGCATATAGATGGCTGTATGATGATGTGTTTTAAGATAAAAGCCTACTGAATGATGCAAGCAATGTAGAGTGTTATTGCAAAAGGTTTTATTTTGCACCAGCCAATCAGAGGTTGA